GCTGAAGAAGAAGCGGCCAGAAAAGCTGCTGAAGAAGAAGCAGCCAGAAGAGCCGCTGAAGAAGAAGTGGCCAAAAGAAAAAGAGCATCCCATTCAGCAGGCATCTTAGCTTGACCAGTCTAGCAAGCATCGCTTAGTTCCTTGCCCAAAGTGAATCACACAGTGTCAACCTGCAAACTCATTATAGTGAAGCACCCTTCATGCTAGGTGTGGTGGGCCCAATCTGGGCCAGCACGGGGTGCAGGGTAATCAAGGTCTAGATGCATTTGGACGTACAGTTTTGTCCGCGTGCTGGTGGAGATCTCACCAGCTTGGGGGAAACTATTGCACTCAATAGCATATACAGCGTTTTGGTGCATGGGCGTCGGAATGCAAAGGAGCATTCAATCTGGCCTGGGCGAGCTTTGACTGGTTTTAAACACGTGGTAGGGATTGAAAGGTTGATATTCCTGTACCAGGTTGAAGCTCTACGTTGAGCGAGGTCAGAATTGACGCTACACTTCAGTTCTGAAGGGGCAGCTTACCTCCAAGGCCGGCAAAGGCGGGAAAGGTGGCGGCTGGGAAGCCCAGTGCAGAGTCCACAAACCCAGTTCTCAAGAGCGAAACGCCTTTCGCTACTAGAAACAAGTGCCACGCTACTAGTAACAAGTGCCTTACTAGTAGTAACAAGAAGCTATTAGAAACAAGTGCCTTTTTTTACCCATGTTGTTGTCTGACAGACACTGAGAGCCGGGACGCTGGCAGCCATCGCTCCCAGGGAAGGAGTGGGGGGGGCGATTTATAAATGAAATGTTTCAAGGTTTCAAGACTTCGAAAAGAAAAAAGAAAAGACGAAATGAATGGAATGCCGGACCCCCGGAATGCCTCTACTTTTCGGAGCAGATGGCCAAGCCAGTCTTTTGGGAGGGTCCTTCTCGGAAGTCCCTGGGCTCAGTGTTTCACAAGCCCAAGCTGCCCAACCTGTGCCTGGAAGTGTTTGAAGTGGTGTCCTGTCCCAAGTGCCCTATATGCAATTCGAATGTGCTGAACCACCTCCGGTGCTTCAGGCTACAGCGGCCCGGCTCGTCCACTGTGTAGCTTGGCACATCACTTGGCGCGGGCCGTCCTTGTTTGCCGGAAAGTGCTTGAAAGCTTGAAATTAGGGACGAGCTTGGGCTGGGTCACCAAAACCGTAGCAAATCGGCATCCATGCATAGAGTTTGCACCCGAATCGACTTTCCGTGTCGGTTCGCTAGGGAATTTCTTCGTGTTCGCAGATGTGTGTTGAACATGTGGCTTTGGAACTCTCAGATGCTACCTCTCACTTTCCGAGGCGGGGAAACTAAGGTGAGCTGGCCTTTATGGCTTTTGAGAGGCCGACAATACTGGCAAGTCACAGCAAATGTCGACCCACATCACGCCTAAAATCATCTCCGGCCTAGGTAGCAAGGATTGTCTTCACTATCTTTCTCCATTCCCCCAGTCCCAGACTTGCAAAAAAGCTTAGCTTTCGTGCGACACATGGCGCTTCGACGCCCCCATGCTTGAGGCCACGAGGGCGGCATTCCACGATGTCGCTGGGCACAATTGGTTGATCAGTTGTTTTCTTTGCTCGTTGGTATGTTGTTTCCTTCTGATCATTGGACATGGGTGCCTTGTTTCAAGTATTGAAGGCCTCTTAGTTTCGAAAGAACCTTGACGGTATGTGGTCGAAAAGAGGGTTGTGCGCAGCTCTTCTGTGATTGAAAGGGGCAAGTTAGGAACAAACACCCAGTTCTTTCGGGTGTCATGCATCCTCTATTGCTGAGGCAAGCTCAAGTGCGGGCGCCATGTCGCGCCGGGGCCTTGCAGCGACAACGTGTCACTTCTGTGTCGTATGACCTCGAAGTCCTGGAACCTAGGGCTTTGGAGCAAAACGATCCAGGCAAAACGTTGCAAAATGAGACGAACGCCAGCTGGACTTTGGAGGCCTGGTGTGACCCGCCACGGCAAGCCCTTTGATACCTGCTGCCGTGGCTGCGCCTTGGGGTCTCTTGGTCTTGATTGGGGTCATGGTGGGGTCTCCAGTTTTTGACCAGCCACGCAACCTTGCAATACAAGCCGCGCTCTGGGAGGCTGATCATTTTTCCAAAACCCCAGCAGTTGGTAGGGCATTGTATGTGCTGCAGCTGCAGGTGGAAAAGTACTTTTGTTTGACTTCTTCGTTCGCAATGAGGACCTTGTGTGATGTGTAGCCTTCGGATCCGACACCGAAGAATTCAAAGAAGGAGGGTTCTCACTTCCAGATTAGCTTCAGACTACCAGAAACGTTGAACACATTAAGCACGCATGTGGTGGTGGAAATTCACGAGAAGCAATCATGATACGGGTTCTTTGCTCACCACAACCTCTTGGTCCAGTTCAATGATGCACTTCTTGCCTTCCTTTACGCAGTAAAGGAGACCTATTGGAGGCCATTTCCAGTAGGGTGGAGTGCGCAGGACACTCCTCATCTTCCAAAGCAGATTGGTCTTCCAAGACCTCGACCTCCTCGGTCCCTATCCTTCTTCCACCGATGGACCACTGAGGATGGCTCACGACCCACTCTGTGGGAAGATCGATCCCTCAAAGGCAGAAGTGGAACGTCGCGGAGTGGCAGAAGTGGTGGTTGTTCGCCCATGGGTCACGTTAAACTGCCATCATTGTGTGCTTGGTTTTCGGGGGCAGTCTCCACCCTGCTGTTGGATTCATTGATGTGTCTTCGGCAAACAGGGATCCTTCGGCCATGAGCCTTACGGCAAGATTGTAAACCCTTGCGTTGCTTGATCCAAGGAAGGTCCCACAATCACAGAGAACCCCTCTTTGACTTGCATGTGCCCATGCTTCAAAGGTTGCAAGTGACAGCTGAAATTGGCTCCAAAGCAGGGCCGCGGTGCATCCAAGGAAGGTTGTCATAAGGCTTCTCCTGCAGCTTCTCATACAGGAAGCATGTTTCTGAATCATCAAGTCTCACATGAACTGGCCCAAGAATGTCAATAGTTTCAGCTCCATATGGGTGGGCATTAGAAACGGGGGACCTGAGGCCACAAAACAGATGAACTAAAAGACTAAAACCATTTGCTATAGATAGCCCATGCAACACCCTGCCTCCCCATAACACGCCCATCAAAAAAAAACGCACCTTCAGTCCCAATTGATAGGCTGCAAATCGGCTGCGGTGCTTCTTGCACGATTCGGAAGGGCAGTCAGACATGGTCTTGAACGAACAGTTATGGAATTTCATGTGCTTTTTTGGTGTTTTGCTGATATGTTGATTGGACATGGAACGATTGAGCCTTGCTCGTCCCTCAACACAACATTTTCGCCAAAACACCTGCCCCCATGGCGCAATGGTGACTGAGAAGCGGCCTTTGCTGAATCCTTCGCAGGGCGAGGCAGGCAGCGACTGCTCCAAATCGGCGTGGCTTGATAGCTGGGCTAGCTATGAGTCAACTCCTGATGGCTAGCTGTCTGTGTGATCAATAGGTTCCAGTAGAGAACCGATTTAGTGGCCTCCGATGCTAGTTGTTGTTAAGTGGGAACGGCGCCAGTTGAGAAATAAGTGGATTCGGCATGTATGTTTGTTCATTGCAAATGGCCGATAGGCTCCCAAACGTTCTTGCAAACGATGTGCGGGAGCGTCGGATGCGGGAGCTGCCAAGCCATATTCTTTGCCTAAGTGGATGCTCACCTCTTCGCAGAGGTGAGTCATCAAGTTGTGTGATGCCCTGCGCACATGGTTGGACCTGCTGCGATGGCAGTTGCAAGCACTCCTCAGTAGCCAGATCAGTAGATGGACCCCTTGCCTTGCGACAAGCTCAGAAAAGCATCAGGACATCGCGTGTTGCCCCAGGTGCCCTGACCCATCGTGTCGCGTACATTCGGTGTGCGAGAATCTGTTTGAGGTTTTATTGCTGTGTCCATTGTTCTGGGCAGCCACTAACTACTTTAAGGGGTTTCTCATTCTTGCTTTCACGCCTGGGGCATGGGGCAGCCCTTGCGTATGGGTGCGCTAAGTCCAGGCCACAAATATCAAGAAAGGTGACTTGCAGATGCAGCTTTTGATGCTTTCACACCTATGAGACCTAAACTAAACCTTCAATCTGAAACCAAAAGCCACGTGTTGCCTCAGCTTGCTTTGGCCGCTGCTATTTGCTTCGAGCGCAGAACCGCCAAAGCGAAAAGGCACGGTTGAAAATTTGGCTAAGCCAATTGCGGTATGGTCAAACCCTGCCAAGTGAACGAGCTGCCTCTGGGCTACCGCGAAGACACTAGTCGCTTGCTTAAGGAAATTGAAAGGGCAAGACCGTGGAAGCTCCTTACTAGCATGAAACAATTAACTGCCGCGCAGAATCTCTGGTTCAATATTGGGTTTGTTCCTTTTGTGTTCTCGGGCTTGATGGTGTGGAGTCTTAGATGGCATGAACACAGCCACCTCCCAATGCAAAATATCAGAGCACCGCACGGCGCAGCACGTGCCGCAGCACGTGCGTCCTTCCCAGGCAGCATCGGAGAAGCCGAAGGAGACCCAAGCGCGGTGGGCGCCAGATAGTCCAGAAGCTGATAATGAATTGGTTCTTCAGAATGATAGCCGCGATCTTGTGGCCGAGGTTGCCTACATTGTTTGCAGAAACAAGCATTGCCAGAAAGTTCATGTAAAGTTCCAAAATGTGCAGTTTACGCGCGAATTGCCTAAAGGCAGGTGGGCCACAAAAGATGCTTGACGAAACGTGCTGATATGTGCTTGCCACTCTTTCCTTATGTGCTGGCCAAACAGTTGCCCTGCCTCCACCTGCAGGATGGAGTGCAATTGGGGATCTACCTCTC